AGGCTTGCGGTTTCCCGGTTCTGGTATCGGGAGCTTGCATCTATTAAACTGGTTTTGGGGAGGCAGAAGTGCAAGTTTTAAAATTTAAGGGTAGAGACAAGCTGCCTTCCAGGTGGCCCACACGAGTCTTCTGAAGCTGTCAGGTCCTGTCCCCCTGTGGGGTGTAGGTCCCTCCGTGGATGGCAGGGCAGCCCTCCTCGTGCTGAAGCTGGCGCATGACCCTGGAAAGCTCTGGGCACGTGGGGCCCTTTCCACCGGGGCCTGCCTGCAGAAGCAGCCTGCTGGGGTGGCAGAGTGCATGGAGGTGAGCTGGGCTGGCGCCTGCCATTTCAAATACCTTAGCACCACGTAAAAATGAAGGTACTGTGTCCGTCTGTAACTAAAAATGATTTTTAAGAAGTGCGTGGAGGTGTGGTCACTTCCGCAGCAGTTCCTCATGCAGGAGCTCCCCCTAAGCGTTAAGGCAGTGTCCCCACGTCCACCTTGGAGATGGAGGTGTTTGGCGGGAATTGCCAACCTTGAAGAATTTTGAGCCAGCTGCCTTGGGGATCAGCACAGCCATCCAGGAGAGGGACACACATGTCTAGGGCTGATCACACATTCAATAAATGTGTCGTAAAAGGATCAGAGGAGTCTGGCACGTGGAGATGAGGCTTTGGAGCATGGTGGCTGCGTCCTCAGTGCGGTGGGGACCTGCAGAGGCAGATTCCAGTGTGGGTCTGTGGCTGAGGGGGAAAGCGAGTCCAGCGACCAGCTGCCACGGTGGGGGCCTGCCTCTCGTTGTCCAGGGCCTCAGAATCGCCTGTTGGCAGCTTCTCGGGCTCATGCTCTTTGGTGTCTGGGTCGGCTGGAGATCTGCGATTGCTGAGCTGAGCCCTCAGGCTTGAAGTCGCCTTCAGTTGGGGTGTAAGAGGCGACAGCTTCTTAAGGCTCCATGAGTTACTAAAGTGAGGTGTGCAGGAATTTTTTTTTTTTTTAATTGGTTTGGGTTTGACATTAAAGCCAGGGTTGACAAATTAACCATGAAAGACCAGATAGTAAATACTGCCACTTGGGGGCCATGTGACATCTGTTGCCACTGCTCAGCTCTGCTGCCCTGGCGGGAAAGCAAGCACAGGCACTGTGCTGTTTGAAGAGTGGGTGAAGCCATTTCCAAGGCGACACAATTACTGTGAGGGGGTTCCCGGGCGGGGGACCCATCTTCATGCTTGAAGTGTGCCTGGAGGCTGAGGCAGGAGGATTGCAAGTTTGAGGCTGGCCTTGGCAGTTTAGCGAGACCCTGGACTAGTTAGATCCCTGGTATAAAAACTACTTTTCTCGGGTGGAGAAAGTTTGAAGTGAGATGGCCACCACAGTCCAACTAGCAAGTAGGTCCCCTGGGGACAGGGGGGAATCCAAATGACCACAGAGCCAGGCCTTGCTCCTGGGGAGAGCATCTGTAAGCACATTTCAAATACCATTGAGTTAGGACTGTGTCCCCAGGATTTTTTTTTTTAAAGAGAATTTTTTAATATTTATTTTTTTAGTTTTCGGTGGACACAACATCTTTATGTGGTGCTGAGGGTCAAACCCAGCGCCCCACGCATGCCAGGTGAGCGCGATACCGCTTGAGCCACATCCCAAGCCCCTCCCCAGGGTTTTGTGGGGCCATTATGTGGCAGGGCCTGCCAGTCTGTTCAGGGCACTAGCCCCTGGCCACATGTGGCAGTCTGGTGTAGTTGGCTGAGGAAGCAGGATTCCAATTCTGACTCCAGTCACCCGCGGCCAAGGGCTGCCGAGGTGGGGAGCACAGCGCCAGCTGGTGGTCCCTCGCCTGGGGTCGGAGCAGACCATGACAGCGTCCCTGCCAGGCAGGCTGATCCTGCCTGGCCTTGCCCACCAGTGTGGAGTGGGTGTCCCTGGGCTCTCGTTTCTGCAGGATTCAGCACCTGCTTCTCAGGGATGGTGTCAGCCTGAGGCTGCTCCAGGCTCCCTGCCTGGCGGCTGGTGGGACCCACAGGGCATGTCTCTGCCCGATGCTGCTCCTGATGGAGCCCTGCCTGGCCACACCCGCTGACCTCCTGTGATTCCTGTGATGAAGGGCAGGCCCCCCCTCAGTTTCAGCCAGGCTTGAGGGTAGGATGGCTGGTGACAGCCAGGACTAATGAGCACTGCACCCTGGCCTTGAGTTCAGCCGTGGCATCTGGGCAGCTCAGGGACCAGAATTGGGGCCTGGTGGCAGCTCAGTGCTTGCCCGGGCCAGAACGTGTTGAGACCCAGTTTGACTCGCCCCTTCCTTCCACTGCTGCCAAGCTCACCTGCCAGGGCCAAGTGCTGGCCTGATGGGCCCTGGGCATGGAGGCCAGGACCAGCCTTAGGAGACGGTGCAGGAGGAGGCCACGGCCCCATGTACCCCCAGCCTGCTCTGCAGCCAGCTGTGGGCACCTCTCTAGAGAGGTGGAGACCGTGCTCAAGCCTCCCACCTTCCTGCACGGTGGCCAGGTGTGGCTGGAGCGGTGGTGGGGAGCCTGGGTGTGGACTTGGGAATATTCGTTTAGGCTGAGTTGTGCTCAGGTATGACCTTGGGGGTGAGCCAGGGGGTTTCCATCATTTAGACACCTGTGCCTCGGGCACCTGCAAACACCTTGAAGAAGAAAAGCCCGTTTTCAGTCTCATTTCTACTTTTTAAGAGGTGACAAGCTGAGGTGTAGCTTACTGGTCTAGCACTTGGCCAGCATGTGCAAGGCCCTGGGTCCTGTCCCCAGTGCTACAAGTAACTAATAACCAAACATGAGAGACATGGCAAGTGCCACTTCCTAACCCTGGGCAATCTCCGTCCCAAGGGCGTGGGGTTGATTCATGGGATCAGGAAAGAGTGCTGATGTGTAGTGACATCCCACCATAAGTACAACCATAATGCACCCATAAAAAATGTGGGGCAGGTGAGGGGGGGCTGGGCTGGGCTGGGCTGGGCATGGTGGGGCACACCTGCAATCCCAGCGGTGAGGGAGGCTGCGGCAGGAAGATTGCAAGGTCAAAGCCAGCTTCAGCAAATGAGACCCTGTCTCAAAATTAAAAAGGATGGAGGTGTGGCTCCAGATTGAGTGCCCTTGGGCTCAATCCCAGATACCAGGAAAAAAAGGAAAATCCTGGGCAGAACCTCTCAACGCACCGTGCATCTGGTCACCCTTGAAGCATGATGGCTACCTCTCAGGAGAGCTCGCCTGGTGCCCCAGCAACCCACATATACAGAGAACCAGAGCGGAGGACCCTGCTCCCGTCTGTGGACCTGGCTCAGAACCCAGGGAAAGCCAGCACGGAGAGTTGTGGCGCAGAACAAGGAAGTCCTTCAAGCTGAACTGCTGATGGATCTAGTTCTGGGACTATGGCCTGGCCAGCAGGACTGCTGGGGCTGGGCACCTGTGGAGCCACCGCCTCCCAAACAAGGCCTTTCCTGGGGATCACTGAGGCTGGGTAGCCTCGCCTGGACCCGTCACTGCCCACGGTGTCGCCGGAGCCTTCTGCTGTGTCCTGACTTGACACCAGGGTCCTCAATTAGGACAATCAGAGATGACTGCCTCAGTCTCAGCCAAGCACCAAGGTCCCCAGGAAAGCTTCGTCACCGAATCCTAAGATTTCTGTTTGAATGTGAAGCCGAGGCTCCAGGTCCTGCGGAGATGCTGGCTCAGGATTCAGCTTTTCCTGTTGGTCAAGGGGAGTGGGAGAGGCTACCGTCTGGGGCTTCCCACCTGGAGGAGTCCGTCTGTCCTTCCCTCTAGCTACTGTGACCATGAGGCGGTACTTCCTCCAGCTGGGGCTCTGCACACTCACACGGCCTCCCCCGCCCTCCTCCACACCTTTCTTGCCATCGGGTCCTGTCCAGCTGTTGGGTTTGCAGCGCATCCTCAGGCCTGGGGCAGTGCTGTCAGTGACACCCACCCACTTCACCCCGATGCTCCCCTCACATCTCCCTCTGAAACTCATTTGTCTCAGCAAATTACTGAGGCCCTAAGTGAAGGAAATTCATCCCACTGGGAGCGATGGTGAGGGAGATGGCACTTTCATGGGTCACAAAGTCGAGAAACCGGCCAGTCTGCTTGGTTCTTCCTTTATCCCATCCCCCTCTGTCCTGGTCCCAGACCCCAGTTTGCCCAGAGGGTCCCATTGATAAGACACCGAGGCCTTGAACCTCCGTGGGAGCTGGGATGGGGCCTCCACAGGGACTTGGCCCTTTATCTCCTTAACCCAGCACTGTCCAGCAGAACTTGCTGCTGTGGCGGAATGTCCCCCCTGTTCAGGGCAGTAGCCCCTGGCCACATGTGGCAGTCTGGTGTAGTTGGCTGAGGAAGCAGGATTCCAATTCTGACTCCAGTCACCCACGGCCAAGGGCTGCCGTGGTGGGGAGCACAGCGCCAGCTGGTGTTCCCTCACCTGGGGTCGGAGCAGACCGTGACAGCATCCCTGCCAGGCAGGCTGATCCTGCCTGGCCTTGTCCCCTCCTGGTGTCCACAAGCCTCATCCCTGCCGTGTCCTGAGGTACCCACTCGAGCCACTGGCGCCCAGATCTAGGGACAGTCGCAGCAGAGGGTGCAGGACGGGACTGGGGGGGGGGCTGGGGGAGAGGGTTGGGAGGCAGTGCTGGGGCCCCACAGAAGGTGCCCCAAGTGGTGGCTGCCCAGCACTTGGTTCTGGCTAGAGTGGGGCAGGGGAGGCAGGAGCCAGCTCACAGGTGTCCTCAGGTGGCCCAGCCTTAAGCACTGGAACTTGGGGTGGCCCACATCTGTAATCCCAGGGACTTGGGAGGTTGAGGCAGGAGGATCGTGAGTTCAAAGCCAGCCTCAGCCACTTAGCAAGGCCCTGTCTCAAAATTTAAGAAGATAAAATGTGGGCTGGGCCTGGGGCTGAGCAGTACAGCGCCCGCGTAGCACTTGCGGAGCCTGGGTCTGATCCTCAGCATCACAGAACAATAAATAAATAAAATAAAGGTATTGTGCCCA